GGAGGAGGGGGGGGGGGGGGGGGGTATCGAAAATACATGAAACCTCTCTGAAAAGTTTCCATGGGCAAAAGCTTTTATTTAGAAATTAGATATCAGCAAGGTAAAACAACTGTTAGTGATACGTTACAGCGTTGCGACAAGGTTACTCTAGGAGTGACAAATAGTGATGCATAACTATTGCTATCGTGATATGCTCCTTTAAAAAAGTCGACTGAGAAGGCTCATTATTTGAGTACTACTTGCAATTCTGCTATTGCTGGCAGAGAGGTCCTTTCAGTCTGCTTTACTAGTTAGCGGTTTCTTTCTTAAAATTAATTTAGTACAGGCCAAGCACTCCACAGCAGTGCGGGCTGTTTAGTGATGTCTGATCCTTCTTGAGAGAAATAGTAGTCTAAAAATGTTCCTGGCAGTGTTGGTTTTTTTTTTGGAAAATGGCGGAAGGTGATCTACCTCTGCACCCGGACTGGCATCGACATAACAGGTTATGTAGATGCAAGAATTAGCTAAAAAGGCGAACACTCCTAAAGAACTAAAGGTTCCGATCGATAAATTTTTGCTTTAAAGGCAGTGAAACGACTTTATTGGCCATCTAAATGGTTCATCTGTTCAGTACTACGTCACTACACTATAGACTTGTTTGAGGGATACCTTCTAGCAGTTCTGAAAGGTCGTCAAAACTGTATACAATTCGAGTTTCACCATTTTCGCCTCCCATAATGAACATTGGGGAATCTGGGTTCATGAGGTCATCTCCCTTATCCCTTTGCTCTAACAGGTCATGCTCATCAACATCTAATATTTCTATTTCGGGAGGTTCCCTTTGAGACTCCATCTCTGAATCGGTATCCGCTTCTTCCATGTGAATGTGAATATGAATGTGAAGGTGATTGGGTTCCAGTAATGACATGCATGACTACAGCAGTTCCCCATCTAGTTAAGCCGGGCTGTGCTAAAGAGATTGATCTCAGTCTCAAAAGGCAGGCAGTAAATGCAGTGATCTTTGCAGCTGCATTAATGGTGGGGATAAGCTTTGTGATGACATTGCTGACAGGAATTAAGAAAACTCTTTAAGATGATGATGATATTGATGACGATGACTTCGAGGTGGAGGGTGATAACTAGAACATCTTGTCGTGCATGTCTGGCCCTAGTAGTGAGGAAATCGCATTTTCATTGTTTTGTGTAGGTCATAGGCCATTTGCATGATGGCGTCATTTTACGGCTATGACCAGGATCCTTCAGGGCTTTTCCTTTCTTGTGCAAATTAGTGCTTTTGTTATTTAAACCTCAATGAGGCTACCAAATTGACATATGAAAGGAAAAACGAAACGAATTGTGGTCGTAGTAAAATGACGCCATCGTGCAAATGGCCTGTTGGAACGTATCTTTAAAAAAGCTTAAAGGAATTCTTATGATGCAGCCTCGTTTCCAGGATTCTGTAATAGCTTGTGCGGTTCTACATAACCTGAAAGGCACCTCAATAGGTGTTTTATTAGTGGTTGCCAAACGGAGTTTTAAACGCAAGCCTCGTTTCCATGCTGCCGCAGTCACGTGACCAGTTTAATTGCCTAACAGATACTTTGTCAAGTCAGATACACTATTATGTGTTATGAAGGGTAATTCTGTTAGCAATCTGTTGTCATTAAAGCTTCTTTTCAAGTACTTTTAAGTGGAGCCTAGTTTCCATGTTATTGTGGTCACGTGACCAGATTAATTGTTTAACAGATACGTTTTCAAGTGAGGTACACTATTATGTGCTATAGGAGTAATTCTGATGACAATCTGTTGTCATTAAAGATGGTTTTCAGGTACTTTAAGGTCCAGCCTCGTTTCCATGCTACAAACGTCACCTTTTTTAATCCACCCTTGTGGCCGTCTGTGTAAGTTACAAAATTGCCGACATTATTTTTTATGTTCCTTAGGGTCCCGTTAACACATCTAGATAGGTGGCTTGCTTTTTTCACAAAATTCCCACGGGATTACAGATGCTCACAGACTAATTGGCTTCATATAGGTTATCGCGATTCGGAGACGATCGAAGGTGCGATTTTAGCCGATTTAAGGTCGCGATTTCCTGCTTCTCAGAAGATTTTGGGAACTGTTTAGTGCTGTGCTTATATGTATATTTCTATCTCAGAAGAGTGAAAGAGATCTGTAGCTCATACCTGGATTTGCTTAAATAAAAAATTCGTCCGTTCAATAGTTACGTTTGATGGACTTTATCAACAGGGCAAGGATGGGGAACGCGAACAAAGAGCAAGGTGAGAAATCTTGTATCGTCTCTCATAACAATTTTATTTTCATCGACAATTTTATATTATTTTGCAAACAGTGACTGTTTGTAATCCTTATAAGCAAATAAATCTTCTATAGGCAAAGGAAAAACAGACCAAAAGTAGCGCCCGAACAGCTACAGCACAATAGGAATTTCACCGAAGCTACGGCCGCGGAAATAGACCACAATCTTGTCTGTACGTTCATTGAAGTGAGCACAGTGTATCGATTTTGTTTTAACCTAACCTCACAGTTTTAAAATCCTGTATGATGTTGTCCAGATCTTCGATAATACTTTGTGTTTTGGTTGAGATTTATTCCCTCGCGTAAATTTACAGGGGCACCCAACGACTGTTTTCTGTAAAATATCTGGTTCGGGGAAACAAATATTGCCTAAAATGTTCTATCATTTGAGGACGGCTAAAAATTTCTAGCTGACTGTTCCATCCATGTCAGACAATTTTAGGAGTTACCCTAATAAATTCCCTAAGATTTTCCGAAGTCAATTTTTCACATTTTTCTCCCCAGGTTTGGCTATTTTTCGTAGTAAAAAGAAAACCTACAATTTTCGGATTCAAAATGAGATGGAGAGAGGAATTAGAAAATTTCTCACTTTCGCAAAGCGTTAAATTGCACCTAAAATTTTCTGGAAAGTACTACTGAAGCCCTAATAATTTCGAAAAGTTGCCCTCGGATGACCGAACAGATACAAATTTTATAGCACCAATGAGAATGCATTTCTAGTAGAGATCTAAAAGTACTCTGGATGGCCTAAAAAGTGTTTTCAATGCATTTATCAGGAAACCTTTGTTGGGTGCCCCTAAACATAGCACACACTGCATGGAAAGAGGCTTTCAGTTTTCGCACTGGGTTATGAAAAATGTTTTGTTTCCAACGGTTACCACAATATTCAAACTTATTTACCTTTGCTGGTTTAAAATGAAACAAACTCTTCCCGGATTTTGCGTTACACGCTTCACGTCGGCTGTCGCTTCGGCAAGTTTCTTAGCCCGTTTCCCGGGACTTGTGCTTTTGTGCTACTTGGCTGAGACAATCTCTTCGTTCCAAGACACTTTCAACGCCTCATAACGGGGAAACTAATAGGGGTAGACCCGCGGGTAGACCCCAAAATTTACAAAGAAGAAAGGCTGAAGTAACAAGTTGACCGAAATAATCCGATAAAACCGCTAACAGTAACCAGCAGTTAATCCAGTAAGAAAGGAGAAAATAACACTCATATCATCATGGCGGCTTGCACATGACCGAGCAATTTAAACTTGTCACAAACGCTCAAGACGGCGATATAGTGTCGAGTGAATAGACCTTGTCACGGTTTTGGACGCCATCTGGACGAGTAGGCAAACGTGTGAGAAATTACATTATTTGTATGAGAATCTAATGTCGAATAATTTCCGTATAAACTGAAACGGTTGTTCTGAAAAAAATATCAATTGTAAACTAATGCTACAAAGCAAAGGATTGCACTAAAAAAGTTTGGGGGCGTACCTGTCCTTAAATTTCTCCAAAGGCTTGCTTTAGATTTTCCATATCAGATTGTCTGTAATTTTTCCCTGGACTTTCTTACAGAC